ACACCTTCTTTGTGCTGAATATATATATTCTGCCCGAGTATTTTGTCTTCTTTCGTCTTCAGGGAGTCTCGGGACGCTACATTTTAATGGGATAAGATTACACAGCTCTTCATGATCGGTTCAGTCGCGAACGCGATTGCCCTGGTGATTTGGTGATAGAAAAATAGTTATATGCAAGCAAGCCATCTCATTTGCGCGCCCGCCTTTTTGAAAAAAAACTGCTCACTTGATTTTCGCATAGAACACCTTAAAAAATGTTGGGTGTGTTCTGATACAAGAAGGTGAATTCTGCATTTATCTTCATTATGAATAATAAAGAACAAAAGGAATATAGAAGCAACAATAAGCAACAAATCTTTTAGTTGCAACTTAGTTTATTTTTGACATGGTTGGCTTTTTGCGTTAAAAACTAGAAATGAATGCAAATTATGAGATTTGTTTTAATTTTTCATCAGAGCTGCGCGTTTGCAAAGGGCTTTCTGACCAACCAGGAAGCAAACCTTTGGTGTGCTGTTTCCTTAGGCAAAGAACTTTATTTCCGGTAGTAGATGGATAAGTTAACAAAACTTGTAGAGCGTCTTGAAAATATAGCTGATCGCTTGGAAACAGCAGCTATTCGAGAAAGGTCTAACAAATTAGCAACAGAGAACACTAATAATTTACAACTGATTCAGTCTTCTGACATGCCTTCTCTCGATAGTATTGTTGACGGTCCTCTTCAGAGGCTGTCCTCACTTAGCGTAAAAATTGGCACAGATGTTAAAGAACAGGTATAGAGTCGATTAACTTTGAGGCGCGTGGTAGTGTGATTTGTTGATTGCGGCTTTCAAAGCTGAATCTAATTTTATAAAATCGTCTTCCGGAATGGCGAAACCGACCGACTCACAACTCCCGGTTGTCCTTAGACCATGCTCTGATGCTATCCAAAAAGTTGCCGAATTCAAGGATCGAAATCAGAAAAGTGCTTATTTCAATCATTTGTCTGCCATTGCCGGATCCGTTGCTGCCTTGGGATGGGTTGCTGTAGTATGTTGAAGATTTCTTGCATTTTATGGGTATTCTTAGCCGGATTCACCCGCAAAATTTATCGATGAAATGGTAGAGTCGGGAAAATTCTACACGAACCGAATACTGAAGGAATTCAAGGGCAAGTAAGTTAGAAATTAATCTATTGTTTCTACTGCAATGCGTATTCTACTCAAGACTCACAAACTCTTTAAAATATTTATTGCTTTCTTTTGGTAGCTAGGTTTTCTTGTCGAGCATTTATCTTGGGTCCAAAATTGTGTGCTTAAGTGCTAATAATTTCACCTCGGACACTTATAAGACCTCTTATTATCAGGATGATCAATCAACTCTTTTACCTACCTATCGATTTTTGGTTTATAGGGACGATAAACACGTAGAGTGGGTGCACGCGCTGTTAGATGTGTGGAATCAATTGAAGGACATCACAGTCACCTACTACCCCGCGGGACTGACGTGGGGAAGCAGAGGTGCTGCCTCAGGTGCTCCTCCACCCCCGCCTCCACCACCTCCGGCTCCCTCCTCTGATGTGAGTCAGTGCAGTAACCTTTGAATTTCTTGCGATACTGAGTTTTGGCTGTTAGTATTGCCACAGGAAGGACGGAGAGTCATCAAATAACAAATAACTGAATTTCGTGTTTCTTCGTTCTGCTTTTCTTAAGCAGTCTTCTGACTCTTAATCTAAAACAGTTGGTTGGAGTTTGGTCGTTATTTTTACTAGATAGGATTTGCAAGGTTAGGCTTGAATGTGGTGGTAAAGTCATACTTCTCTTTGGGCACATAACTGCCCGTACAATCTATTGATTAGCCTAAGCACTGGGTGCCAATATATCCATATTTCTTGTTATCACAAATGGCACTTAAACTTTTTTTGCCTTTTTAGTTAGCGTTGCACTGTGAGCTAACTTTAGCACTAATTGCTGGAAGTTGCCTACTAAGTAAAAGTTTATTCTATTAATTTAGCGTTGATGATATTGATTTCGTAAACTGCTTTTTATAAGGAGCCACGTTCAGATGTGGTTTGTCAGCGGAAAATGACCACCATTGTTCGCCATCCATGGACCCTAGTGGCTTCCATAATTTGCTTTTTGTAACTGATCTTTTATCTTTGGTTTGTGCTATTAACACATGCATTCAGGGCAGAGTTGTTTTTTTTTTTTTCAGTGGAGGACATAAAAGTACCACCTTTGCTTCTCGTGCCCATCGGTTTTCTCCAGGCAGTCTAGTAATTCATTAACCTATTGACTTTTAAGTTTCCATGTTTAATTCTGCTTGTGTTCTTTTTCTACTTTGAGTTTGCAATAGCTTGAATTCAGCCTATATTAGTTTCACGGAAAAGTCTTCTCTATGAAGTCACAGCATGATAAATTTTTTTTTAATGAGCAGAAAAGGTGATTGCAATCCCTCTTTTGTCGGAGGTTTCATAAAAAGCTTGGTGACTCAGGCTGGTGATGAATTTTCAGCTTACATGGCCAGTTTTTCTTGCGTAGCTGTTTGATGGCCAATGGTAAGGAATGAAATTTCTGAGGGTCAAACCTGGACTAAAAAGTGAAGTTTTGACCCTGAGGAATCTTACTTATTGATTAGAATACTGTGACCCTACAAATTGTTAATTTTAATCGCGTCGGTTGCTGGCATATCGACTAATTCCCATGTGGTTAAGCGTTTGCCTGAAATGGGTACTTGCGTGGATCGCGTCAACAATGATAGTCTTTTCGTCCAAACTTAGTAGACCAAAAGGAACCAGAAGAAGTGTAAAATCATTATTTTAGTACTAAGGCTACTTCCTGTAGATGTAAATTTAATGACATTATACTGATATTGAATGATTTTGATTTCGGTGTGTTGGTTAAATTTACTGGTATCACAATTGATGCCTACCTCCACTGACAGCACACGCATAGTTACTATTCGAAGAATTTCATGAATATTCTTTGGTCAGGTGGTCATTTGTCCTCTTACGCTCACTGGTGTTAAAGGGTCTTGACATCCCCCAAAAATGAAGCGGATTTTAAACTTGTCCTTCTTTCCGGATTGCCGCCCGCTGCGTATACTTTTTGAAGTGCTGGATGTCAAAATGCTTTGCTCCTTGCTTCACATGACTTAAATACTGCGAGAAGCCATTTAGTTTATTCATGACCTCTGTCAACTTGACCTGCCTTCACGACCCCTGATGTGAGACGCTAAAATGGGTAATTGATGAAATGCAGTTTCAGGCAGGGCCCAGGCGCGCGCACAACACCCACAAGCGCACCTATCGATTGGCATAATTGGCATTTCCCTCAGGCGAGGCATCGCGCCATTAGCAGCGCTGAACAGACGCACTTTCCGCTCTCCTTAGTATCCAAGCTATCTATAGAAACACCAAGTATGTCTGGCCGAAGCACAAGCGTTCAGGTCCAGGCCTGCTTCGACTGGCTCTTAATATCTTTGGCGCATGATTAGCCGACGCCTTTGTGAGCTTGGTTCCATTGTCTTTTCAAACCTGGAATTCTCCGCATCATCCTATTATTTCCCTTCTTCCTCAGTCTACGGGACCCGGCACCCAGGCTTTATTTTCCGAGATCAATCGTGGTGATGCCGTGGCCAAGGGCCTACGCAAGGTCACTGACGACATGAAGACGCATAAGAATCCTGAGCTGCGCACCACTGCCCCCTTGGCGGCCAAGAAGTCAGTCGCGCCTGCCATTCCCACTCGTCCTGATCAGCGCAAAGCGGCGCAACCCCAATCCAAGCTCGAGCTTATTGGCAACAAATGGGTTGTGGTGAGCCTTTGAATTATGTAAACCTTCTGGAGTTTGGTTTATGTCTCCTTCACATTTTAAAAAGCGCACTTAGGTGCGTGTGGTGGTAACTTTGTGTTCAGTACAGAATGTATCGTTTTGCTTGCTGAAAGTTGATGTAAATGGCCATTGAAAGTTCTCATCTGTGAAACGGTTGATCGCTGCGACGTGTAAGGAGTGAGCTCACGCTTCTCTTTTTTTCCATTTTTTTTAAAATCATTCACTCAGAAATGTTTGAAAGTGAGCACTGCAGGAGAAAAAGTGGTTTATCTGCTGTTTTATATTTTCCAATGAGTACGGTTGAAGACTTGGCCTTTTCAGAGGGGATCTGCCGCTTTTGGAACTCATTAATCTCAGGCTATTGTACTCGAGGACCTCGAAAAGTGAATAGTCGTATAAAACACCCTTTGTCGCACAGTAATGAAAATCACTATTTTAGGAATTTGTGTGGTTGGATTCTCATTTTAAGTGCATATGAAAAAGACGCCTTACTTGCATACTACACCACACTCCTAAGAATAAGGGAGCACCACTACAGTTAGATTGGGTGTACTTACACTTCCTTGTGCTTTACAATGTTAGTGAAAAGGAAGGATGAGAAATCTGTTGTTTTATCAACCATTGTCCGCTGTTTGGATTTTGTAGAAGCCTCCGTTTTATCATTGTGCCAATGGTGTGCTAGCAGAATCCACAGTACACTGAAACGATTCTTGTGGCCAAACGCACGGCGAACGCAAATACAGTTGTGTTACGTCAGGAATGTGGGCATCCCTGATGAAGAATGTTTTGCATTGTAGGAAAACCAAGTTGGAAATCGCGAGATTGTAATTGAGGCAAAGGAGAAGAAGGAGACTGTTTACATTTTCAAGTGTGTTGACAGTGTTGTACATGTCAAGGGAAAGCTCAACTCCATCGTTTTGGGTACGTTTTGAACTCCTCTGTGAGCAACTTGCCCAATTCTAATTTCCTGCAGCGGCATACGGTGTACTTTTCAAGTTTTTTTTTCTGCACCTCATGCGCCGTTGAAAAGACACGGAATTTGCTGTCGTGGGGACCTGCTGCAAGCCTGTTCTTTCATCTTAATTAGCAAAACCAAGTCACCATCTATCTCTAGTGATAAGCTTTCTGTATCTGTAATCACAAGTAAAACCCATATTCAACACTTAACTATGACTTCAGCTTGTTTAATTTTATTCCAATGTGTAGCTGGGTGTACGTACGTATTTACGTTCTATAAAGTGCTTGCTGAAAACATCTACTTTTTTCATCAATTTCATTGAAGAGAGAACTGCAACTATTGGGGGCTCTTTTCAGCCAAACTGATATCCTCGCTCTCGTTAGATGACTGAAGTGATGCTTTCAACTTTCAGACAGCTGCAAGAAGACCTCACTTCTTTTTGATACTGTTATCGCCTCTATCGACGTTGTTAACTGCCAGGACGCTCAAGTACAGGTGGGTACACATTGCCTCCTACTCACCATAGTGGCCATCTTTAGTAAATAACTCACCTTTTTGCTATTCGTACCTCTTGTGTAGGTGACGGGCCTCATGCCAACGATCAGTATCGACAAGACAAATGGTTGCCACGTTTACTTGAGCGAGCAGGCCAAGGATGCGGACATTATTACAGCCATGTCATCAGAGGTGAACATCCACGTGCCTAAGCGCGATGGAGACTTCGTGAGTTGATCCCCCTAGAAGAGGCTGGTTACTTACGCTTTACAAGTAGCATTCTTTTATCCCCTGTCTTACTTTTTGTAGACGGAGTATGCGGTCCCGGGGCAATTTAAGACCAAGTTTGTGTCGAATCGCCTCGAGACGAAGGTCCACGTCCTGGACTAAACGCTTCTTCCCGTAGTTTACACTCTTCTCTTTTTTCTTCTTTAGCAACATAAGTGCGGAAAACAGTCTTATGACGCTATTCTTCTTGCCCAATTCTTTTCGAAAATAAACAAAAAATAAGCTACCGCTTTCTGATCTGGGTTGGAGGGATGCAGAATTGCAGAGCACTGGGTGATTGCAATCCAAATGGCACTCGAGGCATGCAAGTGACGACAAGGCATCGAAGTGTCGTACGGACTGTCACTGACGAACGCATAACCCTAACCACCCAAGGCAAAGCCAGGCCGATCCTAGCCTCGCCTGCGATACGGAATCAGAAGTCACCAACCACTCCCACCAGCTCCATCTCTCTTCAACTTCAAATTATCTGGGCCAGTTAACTTGTAACTAACAACCGATTAGTACGGTACTTGGCAAGTGGTGGTTACATCAGAATGCCAGAACACCGTGACCAAGGGCTAAAGGAAGTGGACGACGAGCGAAAAGGACCACTCCAACACCTCGGAAGACACAAAAGGTACGCCCTTACAATAAGGCATATATACACTCGACCACTTATGTACAAATTAACTCAACAGTTAATTCCCATTTCCGCCTTACAATTTCCTGGACTTTGCCGGCGGATGATCTGCATTCCCAGCCACGGAGTCAAACTTGCGTTTTTTTGAAATACGCGGGTTGAAGGTTCCGGCTTCAAGCTGCCGCAGTCGTTCCTCCAGATAAGCCCTAGCTCGAATACCCATTTCATTATCAGCGTCTTCGTCCCCGAGAGCATCAAGGCGAATCGACAGAGCAGCTTTGGCGGCCAACATACGCGAAATCTTGCCCTTGATGGTTGGCCCAGCTTGTCCGACCAAACTGGCATGGTAGAGTAGACCGTATTTTGGTGTACTGTGACGTGTCTTGAGAGCGCGGAATAGCGCCTTCTCTGCACCAAGTATTTGAACCGTTGAAGCGGGGTGCTTAGCGAGATTCACCAAAGTTCCCGCCCTTGCAATTAAACGTGCGCCCAGGATTTCGCCAACCAGAGCAGTCAAGTTAGGAGCCACCGCGACCATACGCTTGACCAGATACTCGTGAAGCGTATTACGAGATTCAGCCACTTCCATAACTTGGTCGCACAACGAGTGAATCATCTCAACGTCATCATTTGTCAATTCGGTACCCAAGGAGACAATGGCAGCGTCTCTAACTTGTGCAATAAGTTCGTCGGGGATGAGATCAGTCAGATCCATTTTGGCTGCGTTCTCTCGGATACCAATACGTTTAACAAGCTGCACATAAGTCATGTTATTTGTCACGATCTTGGCCAATTCAGGGAAGTGCCAACCATACATCTCCTTGCATCGCATGACGTAGTTGTTCGATTCCTTGTCCAACTCATCAAGAAGACCGATTGCTTGGACAATCATGGTATCAATCTTGTCAGGATTGCATTTAAGTTTGTAGCGATCGAGACTGTGAGCCAAACCAAGTCTCATTCGCATGAGATCTGACTCGTCAATTGCTGGAATAAGCGACTCCATATGAGCACGAACTGCACGCATAAGATTTTGCACCGATGAATCAGCAAGCGTAGAAACACTCATTTTACTCTAAAAATAACTCTTTAATGGAAAACCAAACCTACTGCTATTTCCTGAGAAAGCTTTTTATCCGCCACGGCTAAGACATCATCGCGTATCTCCTTAACGTACAGCTTTTTTAGAAGCCTCTTCAGTTTCTTAGAGATTTTGCCTTCGATGGTATCCGCAGCAGCTAAGAATGGAATAAACATTACCCGACAACGATAAGACATCAGAATAGTAAAAGTATCAACCACAAAAGCTGCAGAGACTCTAGTCCGCAAATATCATCAGCATACCTAAAAGGGCCTCCTTAGTATCCTCAAACCCGACAAACTTTTCTAGTTGAATCCTGAAAGAAGAATAAGTACCTAGAACCGGCAAAATGGTGGATTCAGCAATGGCTGAACGAGCACAGCAAGATTATCAACCATTAAATTTACATAGGCTCCAGCCTGTAATATCACCATTAAAAAGTAAACAGTACTTCGAATTTAGCTTACATCTGGTTCATAAACTCAGTGTTCTCGAATTCCTTTGCTAAATCCTTAACTTCTTGTAGTTTCTTTTCATTGTTAACTTTGAATACGGCATAACCAGCCGCACACTCGAAGAGGAGAAGCATGCCCCGCACGTGAAAACGAGCACTGAGCGCCCGATGCTTCGAGGTGAGAGAGTTAAAACAAATCCGGTATATTTTCTCCCGCCAGGTGCAACTATAAATACAAGAGGATTAATAGAGCAAAACATTCTAAAAAATTTTGCTACACGTTTACTTACTTTCCATTACAAAAACGTTTACTCTATTTAACACTATTAAGAACTATGTCGATAAGAACTTACTTACTGTGGAGCTTTGTAATATGAAACCTGTCTCAATTTTTCCTTGCATTCATTTTCGAGAAGGACCAAAGATGTTAGCTACTTTGCAGTTGTTACTTCCCATTGTACTTGCACTTTTGAAGGAAGTTTTTGGGCTTTCGAGGCAATTTTTTGATTCATTTATGGTAGTTTACTGTAGCTCATAAGTTATGATAAACTATTATGGGTCCCTGAGACTTCTCCGTAGATAAAAGTAGACAAAGTACTCGGAGGGGATGCATATGCTCGACGTACCGTAGGCCTAGGCTCACTGTCATGGACTTGAAGTCCAGCCCATCCATCGAACGTACAGTGGTGGAGACCCAAAGTGGCCCCTTTTACCGAAACCGGTAGTCAACATATTACACTATGACAACTTTCCTTTGCGTATCCGTCAGTGGCACCGTAGTACGCCAAGTCTTTACTGACTCCTTAAGGTACAGCAAGGACAAATTCCCTAATTACGGAATCCCACGTCTTAAAGCCTATTCTTTATCACTATTCTCTACTCAAAGAAGCGTAGCATCTATGATGACCCGCTTGCTACCTCTCATGCCTCGCGTGCACGTGCTTTCCGATTATGTTAATGTCCACCTCCACCATTGAAAAATTACTACAAATTCTTCTGCTAAACATTAAAGAATTTTGCATAAAATAGTCCCGTCGTTGTTATGTCGAAAGGCCTGCAAATATGTTTCTTACACAATATACATGCTGTAAAGTGCCGGTACTGGCAAACGGATAACATTTTAGAGCTATCTTAATCACTCTTTTATTTGGGTTAGCAAAAGTAAGGGGTATAAGGACTTGTCCAAAATGAATTTAAATTACCCTTTGGAAGCGTATCTCTAACTCATTTTTTGCCATTAAGGCAGAATATTTTGCCTCATTGATACATGTGTTATGACGTTCACTACGCAGAATGAAGATAAAAACAAGTTTGGAAAAAGATGATCATAAGCGAACTGCCTATCCAAATGTTGACTGCATAATTAAACCGAAAACATAATACTGGTTCCAGAATTCAAACAGATTTACTTAAACTTTGTTATAGATGCATGCCTCAGTTGCGACGGCGTAACGGAGTCAAGGCTCACTGTCGTGCATGCCTCAGCTCTCTCAATGACTTTCAAAATGATCAAGTTTTCACTGTCTTGACAAGCGTGTGAAAAAACAAGCATGACAGCGGACTGGGCAGAGTGACCAGTACGCATTTATCAACTGCGTTTAACAGGATATGGGTGATTGTCAAAACACAAAAAGTCTGTCATTGAGCATAATTACGACCTAAAAATATTTTTTTCTTGAATGAAAAATCCTTACTAGAACCCAGGTGAACACACGACATGCCCAAGTAAGACGGGTAACCGCAGCGTGGAGCAATTAGACCAAAACAAAAATTATTTGGCTAATAAATGAAGTTGTCGTGAACATCACCTGTGGGATTTGTTGTTTTCGTAGTTAAATGATGGGTAGAGACCCTCATAAGCTGTGTGAGGGTACGAGCTGCTCTTGCAAGCTCGCAAGAAGTGCAATAAATTGCCAAGATGAGCCAGTTAGTAGCCCCTGCCTCGTTCTGGTAAACCTGGAAGAGCGAGTCTTGTCCGTTTCTGCACAATGGTTGGAGGTGGCCGGTGGTCTCATGCATCACTAGTCCATCCATCGCTGCTCCTTGAGACCTTCTGAAAGCTTGCCCAATTTAAGCCTCGAGGTGGCAGGGTACGTTTAAAAAATGTAAGCACTGATTTATGCTTTATGCTTTATGCCCACTATTTTCGTACTACCTCTCCGCATTCTTTCCATTTATTATCGGCACCATGTGGGTCACATCTCACCCGACAATGGGTAAGTGCTGCGAATTCTGTTTAGGGTTTAGGGTTGATTCAGTTTACCAATTTCAAGCAAAAGTGCTGCATCATTTCTACGCAAAACTCAAAACCCTAACGCTCCCTACACTACCTACTTAGGCAATGACGACGAGGTCGAGGGGATGACTCGAAAATAGGGGGTCATATGCGTTAGTGACTGAGGTTAAGTGTCAGTCATCAAGGTGCGCACCACAAATGCATTAGGAGGGGCTGACATCCAACGCCCACCGATAAAACCATTTGCTCTGCTTGAGCCCCTCAACTTATCAACTCTGCTCCTCCAATCAACGTAGTGCCATTGCAATCCTCTGTTGGACAGTTAGCACTGGTTAAGTCGATGAATAGACGTGCAGTTAGTCGAAACAGATCACAGCACTTCCGACATCGAATATCTTGGAGTTAATCTGCAAGAAACGTGTTAACTAGCCGAGATAAACGTTGTTGACAGTTTAGATGAACTTGGCAGCTTTGATTTTGTTTTAGAGAGTTTTGAGAGGAGTTAACTCCGAGTTGATAATGCGCCAGCAGTACTTAAAAAACATCTCCCAAACTTAAAAAACTGATCATAAAACTCAGAGTGAGAAAAAATTAAAACTCCACAATGGATCTGAAATCCCTTTAGTCCGGAGTGGAGCAATTCCCCCACAAGCCACCTTTAAAAGTTGGTGACACTCAAATCTCGTGAAAGCCTGTAGTTTTTCACCACAAAAGTGTAAAGTATAGTTCGTGCCACAAAAGGAAACTCTCTTTTGTGGCACGATGGAAAATATCAACTGATCTCAGACCTTCAAATAGTATGCCATTAGAGCACAGCTAAAATTAACAGCTCATTGTAGAAGGCTTAAACAAAATTATTGGAATACGTGAGGAGTTTTGAAAGTTTACTCAAGTATCCTTCACAAATCATCTCTATGTACAATTAGAGATAGCGCTCATTTCCATATTAACCTATTATTTCTAATTTGCAAGCCATTCAAAAGGCGGCAGAATGAAACAAGAAAGTCGACTATATTGGACTTGGACACAGTTATCATTATAATAATAAACTTCTTTGAGTAAAAAGAGGGATATGACGCTTCTTCTCGATATTCCCGGTTTACTCTATAAAATACAGTGCGAAAGGCGGCAGAAAACCGGACGATGGGTAGGTCAGCCGCAGCGTTCGCCAAGTCGTCAGTTGGCACGCCTCGGAGGCGCCCTTGGTTGTCGCGCTGAAGCGCACTTTGAGATCAAAAGACTGCTAGCACAGCAAATCTATGTACAAAAAATTGTGAACTCGGAAATTCAATGACTATACTGAAAATTGAATCCAATAGAAGGGT